TTAAACAGTAAGAAATATTTTTTGATTTTAGGAATTTATATAAATCAAAATTGTACAATACTGAAATTTCGACATTAGGTATAATACAATTTATAATTACAAATGTTTAAAAAATACAAGAACTTCATAGCATATTGTTTTATGTAATTAACATATGTGCAACATAATAGAACGAAGGGTTAGATTTGACTTTCACACTTTTCAAGCATGCTAGTGCTATTCTTCCACCATCATAGCCTACAAAAATGCTACAAAGAACAAAAATACAATTTTATCACCCTCTCCCCTCCAACTGAAAAGGTGAATGCTTGAAAAATTTTCCGCCTTTTTCGCCTCATGCGTGGCAATATAACAAGAGCCTATTATAGTTGTATGTTTAGCTTTACTATTATTCGAATGATTCTAAAACACACAATTCATGGATTTTCTTCAATTATGATAAAAAGTTAAATACAAAATTGATAGAATTTAACATTTCAATAGGTACCATTGTGGTTGAAATAAAAAATAAGAAATCACCAGAATTTTATTTCTTAGCCTGAATAAATTCCCTTGTGAAAAGGTTAATGAGAGAAGTAAGAAATAATAAGATTATTCTGTGGTTTAGTACAATTTATGGATCCTAAATCTCCTTAGCCGCTAAATATATGTAGTGTAACATTCTTGTTGTGTCTCGTACCAACCCCTGCTCTATACACTCAAACGTTTCAAAACGCTAAAATACGATATCATCGCAATTATTTTCGTCTTCTGTTCCATTATTTCAAGCACACAAGACACTTATAACATTGAAAATATATCTGTGGCTTAGTACAAGAAATATAAATGTCAGTATTTATAAAATTAAGATATTACCACTTAAAGATATGTTAAGGAAATTCACGTTCAACTAATTTTTAACATAGAAGATTCTGCTGTTTCAAATTTCTTTTTGAACATAAAAAGGGGGAATTCAAGCTTATGCCATTTGTGTTTTTTTACAAAAAAAAATAAGTTTATTTTATAAAAAATTTTAACGTTGCCATATACAAATGTCGTTATAGTAATTTCTAGATAGAATTTGAAATCACCGTTTCTTTATATAAAATATACAATTGTTTATAAACTCAATATCGGATTTAACTCATTTTTGCAAAAATATGACATTACCATTTCTTGAACCAAGCCACAGATATTTTAGCGATAATACATTACGGATACTTGTATTTACACTAATTTCAACTTTCTTGATTATTATTCTTATTTTATATTAATTCTTAGTTGCTATAGTTGACATCATTGTTATATGGTGAATAAGAGTATTGGATTTATGATATTGATTATAATATTAGAATGATATTAAGTTTTATTAAATTGCTGATTTCTAAATACAGAAGATCTGACATAAACATAACAGAAAATAACGTTTTTAATATATCAATTAAAAGCTTAAGGTTTAATAAAAATATGTAACTACGTAAACGTAGTTAATATTCTTAACACAAAATAATCGGTTTTATAATAAGTTGGATAAACAATATTTACTAGCGGACAATACTTGACTTTGTTTGTTCCAACAAAGAATGAACTAATTTTTATTAAAAATATTGATAAAATGTTTATGTAGTTAATTTCATCAAACTATAAGCTTCAAACTGATATGTTTCAAGTGCAGATTTGTAATATTTTATGTCATGAAATCGTGACAGAGAAAAAGCGTTTGTTAGCGAGCTATCTCTTTTCAAAGGTGCCACTTTTACCTCTAAATAAACAATTAAAATTAAAAGAAAAGGAGAACGGTAAAAAATTGTATACAAAATTCACAAGTAACCTAGGCCAAAACATGTTGATATTGTTATTTATTGTATTTTTCCATAAAAGAAGTCTAAATATCGTTAAGCCTTTTAGCACGATCCCTAAAAATGAAAAAAAAAAGAAACGGATTCATATGATTCGGATGATTTGCTAAATGAAATTTTAGAATAAAGACAGTAGACACTTTCAAACAATCGCTTTTATGGTGAAGAAATAATGAAAATACAGCATCGTTGCTTGACACTTTAAATCTAGGCTACGAGAGTTACTCGTCGGGACATGTGACTGAATATCGTGACATGGTTAGGGATCTATGCGACGGCCGCGAGCACCGGATGGAACCGACCGGAATAATTTTAATGAAGATGATTTTCGTCGCCAGGAAGTGCCGCCGTTGAAAAGTCAATCTCAGAACTGTTTTATTTTCATTTTTCTATGTTTCAACGCGTGCTTCTCATTGGCGTAACTAGGCAGGGACCAGGGTTCGATTGAACTCTTTAAAAATGTGGACTGACCTCCTCACCATTTTAAAATTCTGAGGTTCCAAGATTCTAAAATTGCAGAATTTCAGGATTTCAATATTTCAGTTTTTTAGAACTCCAAAATTATGAAATTATAAAATTATAAAATCCTTCGAAAATTCTAGTTACCCCAATTAAAGAGTGACGAATATCCAATATTAATTTTTTAGTCTGTTTTCAAAAGTTTCTCTATCTACCTTAATTTGTCAGTTCCTGTATTATATTAAATTTGTAATATCGATTATTACTGCAATTAGTGGATGAAAAAATATTGGCACACTGTTTTCTTGCAATTACTTTAAAGTATTATACTAATATAATTATCTTAATCGTTAACTGGTGAGGTAGGGTTTTACGTACCCTATTTTCCACCACACCAGTTAAAGGTTAATAAAATTGAGGGATCAGTTTCTGAATGGCCCTACCAAAATTGAGAACTCAGGTTCGATATATAACCTAAATTGACTACCAAAAACCGATTAAAATTGGTTTCAGAGCTGGATGTCTTACCGTTCTTGAAACCTCGTTGTAAGAAATTTTTATACAATTTTGGGACTACGTATGCGCTATTCGATACTGAGCATGCGCTATTCAATACTGCGCGTGCGCTATTCGATACTGCGCATACACAGAACATAACCTAACCTAAGCTTACCACGATATCTCGAAAACGGTAAGACATCCAGCTCTGAAACCAATTTTAATCGGTTTCTTGTAGTCAGTTTAGGTTATATACCGAACCTGAGTTCTCAATTTTGGTGGGACCATTCGGAAACACAGCCAAATTGAGGATGCCAACATCTTTTTGATCCACTGTAGTTCTTTAATCAGGGAACATAGTTAATATTTTGAATAACTACTGATAAGAAAAAAATTCAAAGGTCAAACACAATCTCTATCTCTCCAAGTGTATTTTTCCTCCCTCGTACCCGGATGTACCGCGGTTCTTCGAACGCATCCTTTGCATCATCGTAAAATAGAAGGATAAGGAAGTTCATGGACGGAAAAGCTAGGACGATAACACCAGAGTAGCAACTCTAAACCCGTAGAAATTATCCATCGTATCACGGAACAGAGCATAACGTTGGATCCCGGGCAACGTGGTCCGCCTAACAATCTCGAATGTTTAAAGAAGAGACTCTTCTGCCGTTTGGTTACGCCAATTCCACGTAATAACAGTGAAATATTGAATACGAGCGTAAACTGCAATTTAATCGAGTCTCGTGCAGAAACAACGACGGCTCGACGGGACACGAGGATGATCTTCGTGTTTGCCGGCTCGAAGGCAACATATAAACGAGAAAATTCTTTGAAAGAAGGGAAATACAGCCGTGGGCTGTCGAAGGAACGCATCGAACCTGTTCATGGACTTGGCAAGGATCAACGATAGTGATTGGCGATTACGTTAACCAAACACCGCGGTATACGCCCCTACAATTTGCCTGGGGATCATCTTCCCCTAATCGCCGCGCTAATAACAGGATTACCGAGACCTGACCACGGAATCGTATACTTATCCCTAATTCGCTGTATCGTTATTAATATATATAATACAATTGAGAACGTCTCGTGCCTGCGATAACGTGAGTATACGATCGAGGCACGTGCGAAAACATCGAAACGCAATCGAACCACCTTCATTTTTCTTTCTTTTTCCGGTTCTGACGTTGCTTTCTTTTACGTCGCATTCAGTGCTAGCAATTTTAATCAAATTCTAATATCAGATACTTTTAACATTAATTTAAAAGATGTTTCAGTTGGAGTTGTTTTAACCCTCGGACAACGGATCATGGAGACAGCCACAATTTTAATATAACTTTGTATTTCATATTATCTTCGTTTTTTAAATTTTACACGGTTGCTTTAAAAATTAGTCTCTTAAAGTACAAAACTCTTTCGTTTAAAAATAATACCTTTAACGTTAAGTAAATATCCTTGCACATATTTTGTAAATTGTGGTCAGGATTGACCCACGCTTCGTTGTTCGAGGATTAATACGTTCATTAGTACGTTGCTTATAAAATTGCTTTCAAGCAATTAACATTGGCGTAACTACATAACAACCAGGGTAGGCCTTGCCCACTCATCAATTTAAGACTTTAAGATTCTATTATAAAATTGCACAATTGCAAAATTTCAGAATTACAAAATTTCTATAGGATCTGCCCCCCTCCCCCCAAATCCTACTAACGCCAATAGCAATTAATAGAAATATTTTTAATTAAGTATTCAAAATTACATAATAAAACTACAGTTAATAAAAAATTTAAGTGATCTATCTTTTTGAAAATCCCAGTTATTGCAATTCATGCTTGACGAAAAATTAATTTTGTATATCTATCACTTGTGTTTGATAGATTATTCAAAGCTGTTCAAATGAAAAAAAAAAATAAACTGAATGAATAGATTTGAACTATAAATTACATCAGAAATGTTATTCATCGTCAGTATCCTAAAGTAGATGCTAATACATGAGAAAGACCCATTTTTTATTATACTCAATAACAGTTTAAAATTTTGAAAACGCACCAAAACGAATTTTACTATGTAACATTCTTTCGATGCAAGTAGAGTGATGGGTATAAACGGTGCTTGAGATTAAATATATTCTCAATACTTTCAGAGCAATCTACCTATAATAAATAGATAGAAGTGGAAGAAAAAGAAAAAATTTGACATACTTACGTGTAATGAGAATAAGAAGGGCTAGCCTGTTCAATGTGCGTAGCCGTTGACAAGCCTTGCACAATGGCAGCCGAAGGATCCCTAGCTGGAGAAGAATTTTGGGCTGCCGGTACAGCGTGATGGTAACGCTGGCACATTTCGGCCAAATTCCACCCATGGGCATCCATATATTAACACTGCTTCGATTTTCTTTGGCGTACCATCCATTTCACACGCGTTGTAACACTTCCTCTTCCTGGTCCTTCCTCACGTTTTTTTACTTGTTCTTTTTTTCTCTCTCTCTCTCTCTCTCTCGCACTATTTCAATTCACTTTTTCTTAAAAACAAACCGGGATGTAATATAAATCTCAACGAAACTCACTCGCGTGTTTATTGTTTGTTTCACGGTTCGAAACATTGCACTTGAATCTTAACGACGATCCTCTTCCTCCAACACCGTGACTCTGTTAACAAAATGAAACGATTGTTCCATTAATGTAGCGAATCTTCTGAAGAAAAAAATTGAGAAGATAGATGAGATTAGAAGCTGACGAAACGATACGAAGAGAAATTGCAGTATTCATTAGGTAATGCTCGAACTAATCATGGTCTAAAGGCCGGGTTAATGAAAGTGTCTAGTTAATTTCAACGGAACTGAACAACGGTAGACAGGTTCAACTAATACAGGGTTGAAAATGCGATAGCAGATAATCATCGGTATCTGGTGATTCGATATTGATCAGTTTCTGTACTAGGAACAACGCTAATCACTATTGTACGAGAAATCCATGGCACGACTATAATTGTTCTCGGTAATATGGTCCATCAAATCAGAGTCGTTGAGTTGCACTTACTGTTAGTTTAATATAAGAAAAGGAGCAACCTGATTTGTACTACTAACACGTTGATTGTTATGGTAGAAAGGATCGTATCGATGTACCGTGACTTTGATGTCCATTTCCAATCGAAGGGTAACTATTAGAAGTATGCGAGGATTTCCGAAAATTTCGGGCATTCGATACTCGGGTCAGGTCGGGCTCTTTTAAGAAGCTGACCCGACACAAACCGAACAATTCCAACCCGACCCGACGCGACCCGATCCAGCCCCATTCGAACAATTCGAACCCAACCCAATATTTTCAGGACCTCTATAACTGCAGCACACTCACACCTCTAATAACTGCAGTGATCCTACTAAATATTTGATGACCGTAATGTTTAACCCTCGTACACAATTCGGGGTTAAATTGACTTAATATAAAAATTCAATATTTAAAATAGTAAAACTTACTGATCTTTAATAGAAGTACTTGAATGATATATGTATTCATGAAATAAAATATTATTTCGTATTGTTTGTGATAGATATGAATCAAACGATATGAGTGTAATAAAAATTTAAGCAAAATAATTATTGCCTCGAAAACTAATAGTTATAATTGTAAAATTGTATGGTTCCAAAAATTTTTCCAAAAATTCAAAAGTTTCTAAAGTAAATTATAGTTCTTATATCAAAGTTTATCACTTTACTGACAATCACTAAAAATAATCTGTATTTAATTCTAAACTCCGTGCTTAAACCTATGTACTTCCACTTATTGAATTGGAGATGTTATAGATAGTAAATTGGATATGATGCAGTCTAACGTAACGTATATGATGAGAGATGACACATAGTGCGTAACTAATAGTCGGTTTTATCAACTCTGTTGATAAAAGCAGTAAATAAATGTTTCATTATTATTGATTCATTTATACGCTATAATTAAGAAATTATTTTAATTTTTAGTCAGCGAAATGATTCCTACATGGATTTTCAAGCATACAAGCGTCACCCTTTTATCATCTCGAAAATGATACACTTCTATTTCCCTTTCGCCCTTCCAAATGAAAGTTTAACAAGCTTTCTGCTGCCATAGCGCCGTTAGCGGCAATATAACGAAAGTCTATTATATTCAGTTATAAAACGATGTTGGTCACTTTTTGGGTATTCATCTCGAAGACTTAAATAAAAATAAATAATTTATAGAAATAACATATTTTAATAAGCCCGCCCTTTTAATTTTTTAGAGTTGATAATGGAAAGGCTTTTGTACCATTGTATCAACATCATTAACACCCTTTCGATTCAAAAAATAATGATTTAACATCAGTCAGTACTATTTAAAAATTCAGAGCACAGTTATAACTGTGATCAATAGTAAACTCTATCAAACTAAATTGGTTGAATTGCTCCTAGTATAATATAGGAAAAGGAATAACTAGATCTTTGATAGTAACATTAACACATGGACTATTGCAATGAAAATGATCGTATCTATTAGATGCCGTGACTTCGATATCGATCGGTTTCTATTCAAAGAATACCGATTCAACGTAAATCTATGGGACAACTATAAGTCCATTAAATTGGAGTTGTTAAGTTCCATCTAGTTTAAAGGATACGACCACCCTGAAGATCTCAAAATAAATAGCTTTATGAGACTTTTTAACAAATATTTATAACATGAAGTTTTGTCTATGGTCCTGAATAGAGGCAAAATGTCTCTGTACAAATCATGAAAACTACAATTATCATTTAAGACAGAAAATTTTACTATCTACATTTTTGCTAAACGCACACCTGAGTTTAGTATGTTTTCTATACAATAATTTTCTGCAAATGGAAATTAACTCATCACAAATTGAAATTGCTTTAATCGACATAACCTTGGTACCTTATGTATTTACAAAAAAATTCAATACACAGAAAATAATTTAATTATATTAGAAAAGTCCCCGACATCCGGTCATCAGTGGTGCAAAAGCGAATAATGATAAATGGGTTAGGTTAGATTAAATAAGATAACGATTCAAAATACCAAATCGATTGATCGGTATCATTATGATCGATTGATTATCTCAATTGAATAATCTAGTAGCAAATATATAAGTAATTATGAACGAATTATTCAGCAAAGACGTATTAATAATTTAAACAATTTAGTGAAACATATTTAGAAGATTGTTAAATATAATTTCATTTTATGTAATAAACCTTGATTTGAAAAAGTATATTCCTATTTTTTATTAAATTAAAAAATAGTGAAGTCGTATTCATAATCGAATAAGTAAATATTTAACCCTCGGACGACGAACCATGAAGAGAGCTCCAATTTTAATTTAATTTTATATTTCATATAATTTTTATTCTCTAAATTTTACACTGTCCCTCATTTAACTTTAGGTTTTGTAAAAAAGGGAATAAAAGTAATAGTGGCTCGAATTTCCCTTTTTTTTAATTATTTTTCTTTTATACGCCTCACTTTTTCGTTGTACAGTTGAATTTTTCATAATTATCGACTGACAACATAGCCATTAATCATCGATACGCCCAGGCGCATGCGAAAAAATGTTTCGCTGAAAATTTGTTAAAATTGACCTTCCCCCCTTTTCCGTGGACCTTTTCATTTGATTTCATAATTTTCCGAGGTTAAAACGTATGCAAAGCTTGGACGGTTAATTGCATCACGAAGAAAGTGAAACCCAGCGTCTTACTATCCACTCGTTCAGATAACTTGTTAGTAATTTATCGTCGATTGGCTGTTATACGATATACCGTGGTCACCGGTGTGATTAACACTCAATCGTTTAAGCCACGAAGAAAACGACGTTCCCTGCCCAACCCAGTAGTCATTTCCAGAAGAAATGATAAGTTTAAAAGCGATGTCAGTTATCGGGCCAAATCATTGACGGTCCATTTCACGATAATTGGATCGTTCGTCAGACGTAACAATGAGAAAATAAATAATTATCGAATATAAGAAAACGTGTGTCTCACGTGTACGGACTTATCTCGTCCGTTGTTCCTGATTGATTGCCAAGTAGAAACACAGAAAGATAGCGTGCAGGATCACTTAATCAAGCTGATTTCTCTAACAGTAGAGATTCATTTGTCATGACATACAGCCTCTAATAATAATATAAGAACGTATACGACATATCTGCGAGAAAGAAAAAAAACTCATACACAATTTCTATAATTCAGTGGCTTTGTGTACGAAATGCCAATGTCACGTTTTTGCAAATATAAGTTACATTCGAGATTGAATTTGTAAATAATTGTATATTCTATATGAGAAATGACATCCAGAATTAGTAGATGTATTTGTATTAGTATTACCATATGTCAATATCAAAATTTGGCATAAAAGAAACTTATGGTCTTTGCAAAAAGTACACAAACACCATAAGCTTTAATTCTCTTTTCTTGTATTAGAAAAGAAATTTGAAACAGCAGAAACTTCTATGTAAGTAATTATTTGAATATGAATGTTTTAACATATGTTTAAGTGCTTATATTTCAATTTCATAAATACTAACCTTCGTATTTCTTGCACCAAGCCACAGATATAGTTCGAAATTAAGGAAACACCACGAATTATTAATCCTCAAAAATAATTCTTAATTATTTAAAATAACGACATGTCCAACCCCTATTCAAAGATGTGAAAATTTCTCAAAATCAAATGAACACTTTCACTTTCTTACGTATAATTCTTAAAGTTTAAGAAATAAGAAGAAAATGTTTCAAATGAAAGTTTCATGGTACATTAAGTGTTACAAACTTGCATCAACAAAATTTTGGAAAAAAGCTTTCGACTTAAAAAAAGAATTTTGGAAATGCTACTTTTCTTTTCAACAGGAGCTGTCATTACTAATTCATTAGTATCTGCTATACTCATTTGAATACACTCAATTTTATAAATTATGTTGCTATCCATTGATATTAATTTAACCCTTTCGATCATGGCGTCCTCATATGAGGGCATACTAAATATATAAATGATTGGTACATCTATATTTGGTAAATTTTATCGTTTGTAAGCGTTGTCCTCGTATGGTCACAACCATAGATTCTATTTGACACCGGTGTCGACCTCTCTTTTCAAATTGTGTGATCACAAAAAGAAATTAACCACGCGCATTCAAGTGGACTATGCCCTGCTGTCTTTGTGCCTCCTATGAACCGATATATATTTTCTGAGGTTATGTAGTAACCTGTAGTTTTAGGTAGAAAAGTGCGTTTTTGAAGGTGAAAACCAACAAGATGTTCAATACTTTGAATTTTTAACTTATACCGCACCCACCTGATCATAATGTCCTTATTTGGGG